CGCCCCACCCCCCCCCCCCCCCACCCACACCCCCACCCCCCCCCCCACCCACCCCCACCCACACCCACACCCACACCCACACCCACACCCACACCCACACCCACACCCACACCCACACCCACACCCACACCCACACCCACACCCCACACCCATTGGATTATGTCGGAAAGATCCGATGGGATCCGATCATCGAATGTAATCGGATGTTAAACGAGCTCGATGAGATCCAACCCAATGAGATTGACCTGAGTAGGTTTTAGTGGTTCATCTCGGCTTTTTTACTTTGGATGTCAAATCTATCTATATTTGGAAAATGGTTTTTCTAGGTTATCTGAACCTATGAACCGCATTGTGGAAAAGTTTCAGTCGTTTCTTCAGAAAATAGTGTATGAATCAATCATGAACCACTAGATGTTCCATGCAAAGAAGAAGTATCAACATTGATATTTTGTTGTCTAACTAATTATATTCAAAGTACAGATCTATTTCTTTTAGTTTACCGCATTTCTACTACGAAGAAGGTAACAATAGTTGTGAACAGATAGATTGAATTAAATAATTTCGTCGATGAGTTTTCAATTTCAGTCAAACTTGCATTCCAAATACCTTTTCTCAATATAGCTTCATTATCTCCTGGCCATGGTGGCATTGTAATTGCCACTGCCACTAGACTTTTTCTTCCAATTGTACGAAATTGAAATTGTGTTCCCACTGGAATGGTAATACATATATCAGCATCAACTGTTACAATTTCTTCTCTCTCATTCTGTTTGCGCCAAAATTCACCTTCACCAGATAGAAAATACCATATTTCATAAACACTTCGATGTTCGACAGCCTGTGATGTCATTCGAGCAGGAAGATCGAATTGTGCCATACTACCACCAACTGTTGTCAATAAAGTACGAACCAATGAACCATCAGGTGCAACAACATCAGGATTAATAGGTAAACGTTTGGTTTGAAATGGAGAAATAACAAATGTTGGATTGGTTGATGTAGAAGTTTCTATTGTCGATGATGATTCTGTTGTAAAAACCATTGTATTTGAATCTAAAGAAAGACGAATGTAGAGTCAATATGATTGAAAGAATTTACTAAGTTTATCCAATATTGTAGGAATATGATCATCAGTAATTATCGTATGAACTAAAAATAACGTCATTTGTGATCGATACTTACATTATAGTAGGACTTACCCGAAGCTTTCCGATATTGATTGACTGTAGTGGAGTTGAATGTAATAATTAGATCACTATTGATGCTTTGTACTGGTATTTGACTGGTGAATTGTAGATTGCAGAAGGTATTGAAAATAATAACAACAATAATATCGATGAACATGGTGCCATATACAATAATCTATAATAAACAGAAAGAAAACAATCAGTTATGATGTTTAACTATTACTGGAGGTAAAAAAAAGAGAAAATAAAAACTTTTGAAAAGTCATTTTCATAATTTTTTGTGTCTGCACGATAAAGTATACATAATTTTTAAAAAAAGTTTCATTGTAAGCTGGTTAGTTTTCGTGATAAATAAACGATTAATATCGATAATAAATGGGTTTAAATGGACCATCAGGGTGTACATCTATATACGCTGATTGAGTTGGTGTCAATTTATCCAATTTGATGCCTAAATATTCCAAATGTGCCATGGCTACCTCTTCATCCAACTAAAATTCAAAAAACTTTTTATCAAAGATGAAACTTATTTTAATGAAAGAATATGTACAGTTTTTGGAAGAATATGAATTCCAATTGGATATTGTCCTTTTTTTGTAAATAATTCAATTTGTGCCAAGATTTGATTTGAAAATGAATTACTCATAACAAAACTTGGATTACCATGAGCACAAGCTAAAAGTATATAAATAATTCAATACTGGATTCTTATTTTTATCAGTAATACTTACAAAGATTGATTACACGTCCATCAGCAGGTAAAATTACAGCACGACCATTTGGTAAATGATAAATGTCAACCTATAACAATACAAACAAGTAAATTAAAGTTTCTTTGGATTCAATGAAGTATACGTGTGGTTTAACATTTTCAATTTTGATTGAATTGGCTTTTAACCATACAACATCAATTTCAGTTTGACCCGAACCAATATTACATAAAATAGCCATATCACGCATTTCCATTATATGTTCACCACGAATTAATTCAGTTGAACCAGTAGCTGTAACGAATATTTGACCAATTTTACATGCTTCAGCTATCGTTGTCACTTGATATCCTAGAGCAATACATTGTCACTTATTACAATCCATAAAGAGAAACATATATTGCTTACCGTTCATTGCAGCTTGTAAAGCACAAATTGGATCGACTTCAGTAATAATCACTCTTGCACCATGACCACTCAATGTTTTTGCACATCCTTTTCCTACATTACCATATCCAATAACTACTGCTATTTTTCCTGCAATCATGACATCGGTTGCTCGTTTAATACCATCAACGAGACTTTCACCACATCCATAATTATTATCAAATTTTGATTTTGTTACACTATCATTAACATTAATGACTGGCACTTTTAATTTTTTATTTTTTAATAGTTTACGTAATTTTGTTACACCTGCTGTTGTTTCTTCACTACAACCATGAATAGCACTTGCTAATTGTGGATATTTTTCATGTATAACTCGTGTTAAATTACAACCATCATCTAAGATTGCATTCAATGGTTCACCATCAGCAAAATAAATTGTCTAAAGGATAAACGAGAAGACCAAATATTAGTAAGTATGCACTTCGCCGAAAGTCACTTCGCCGAAATACAGATGGGCGAAATTCGATCATCTGCATTTCGGCGAAGTATCGTTTCGGCAATGTGACTATTGGAGATCTTTCGTTTCGATGTCGTCACTTGCGACAATGTGATTATCGACAAACAATGTCTTTGACGATATTTCTTTCGAAGATGGAAACTATCAACACTATTTTGAGGTAATATTTACAATATTACAAACGTGTCAATATTATGTATACCGATACTACTTTAATTGTACTTAGTAATCGTAGTAGACGTGACAATTTACCGATTGACTAAGTTAAGTTAGGAACCAAGTCAACATAGGAACTGAGTCAAGTTAGGAACCAAGTCAACATAGGAACTGAGTCAAGTTAGGAACCAAGTCAACATAGGAACTGAGTCAAGTTAGGAATTTATCACAAAACTCGGTGGCAATTCATAATGTTTATTGAATAACTGCTCTCTGTATGCGGTTTATATCCAATCACTGAACGAAAATAATGGTCGCAGAAACGAAGATAACTTGTAAAGATCATCGAAAAAAATTCGGCGCTCTCGTTTTCGACGATGAGCACTACATTCCGAATATTTTTTTATACTATAAAATAGATGAGGACAAAAAAATTTACCTGATCTATACACCATAATTTTTCTTCTTCTGTTTCTCCTTTCCAAGCAAAAATGGCTATACCAGCTTTAACTAATGCAGCTGCAATATGATCTTGTGTTGATAATGGATTACAACAACTCCATCGAATCTATAAAATAAGAATTATATATAAACGTCAAATAAGATAAAAAGATGACTTACCTCAGCACCTAATTCACGTAATGTTTCAATCATTACCCCTGTTTGTGCTGTCACATGTAAACATCCAGCAAGGCGAACACCTTTCAATGGTTTTGTAAGGCCATATATTTTTCGTAAACGCATTACTCCTGGCATTTCAACTTCAGCCATTGATAAGGCTTTTCTACCCGATTCTGCTAGATTGATATCAGCAATTTTGTGCGGAAGCCTTTCCATATTGCCAGCAAAATATAGGGATTCTTCATCTGCATCAAATAAGTGACCTATTTGTATATCATCTGTACAATCGTCAAACAAATAATATTTTCTTATAAAAGTGTATTTTTCGTTAGACTTACCAGCATTTTGTTCGCTGAATTGTCGACAAAGACGTCTTCCTTCGTTCGGAATTAATATTAATGATGTTGTTATATCTTCCAATCCTTCTGGTTGTTGTATTTGTTCTTGATTTAAACTATCGTTTCGGTTAAGAATCGATTTGTTTTGTATTTCTAGAAACCAACAAAATAACATTTGATTTTTCTCAGAAACAGGTGAGAACAAACCTGAAAAATATGATTGACCAGATGTATCCATGTGTGAGTTGATAGATAGCTAAATGTACTGTAATAGTAAATTACTTGTGTTGGCTTATGACTTCTCTTTGTTCTTTTTGTATAATGTAGAAATTCTGAAATTTTATCCAAGCTTTTATAGGCATATTGGTGCTGGAGTTGGATAAAACACTAGAATTCTACTGATATCAAACGAATTAAGAAGTGATATGTCCTTACTATATATCATACTGAGTCAATAATAATAACTATAAAATATGTCTCAACGATTTCCTTTATTGCTTTGCCCCTATATCTTTGATGTCATTAATCCATCAATATTTCTCATATTTGGGATAAAAACGAAATATGTCATCATCTGTTCTGCACTCAAATCGTGACACGTATATGTGTCACAATAAGAAAAAAAACTTTCGTCGAAAAGAAAAGAGGATCAATAAATATATTCGAAGAAATCGCATAAAGATAAAAGTCCAAAATCATTAAAATCAACAAATATAAAGTCAACGATTTTATGTTTTTCAGTAAAATCGAGATATACTATTTAGACAATATATCTTTCGACAAATTCGAATCGAAATTCGAGATATTTTTTCCTTATCTCGTGGAATATATTTAATGCATCGAATTTCATTTTTCTTTTTCTTTCTTTCAGCGGTAAATGAAAGTGATTGTTACAACAGCGTCTATGGAAAAGAAAACTCCTCATTTAATTCGAAAATGGTCTGGTGCTATATGGCTTTTGATTGAAGTAAATTTATTTGGTGGTACAATATTTGGATTTCCAGCTTTATTTCAAATTTTACCTCAATATAGCATTTATGATAATAAAAATGATTGTTCATCATCATTAATGAACACAACGGAAAGTGGAGAATCGTTTTGTGAAAGACATCAAACACGGCATTATCAAGTATGTCTGTATGTCACATTAATCATTTTTTTGGTCTATGCATT